ATTTCACGGTTGCACATTCGTAGTGACATAACCTCTCTTACCTCTCTTACCAGAGCCCTTCACCGCAGCTGCACACCAACGAGCTTTCGCAAGCCTCGTCTGTGCGTTCTTCTTACAAGATCGTTCGTGACGGGAGCTGTCGCTCGTGGAAGCTGTGCCCTAGGGACACAGCGCACTGCGCTAGTTGGGGGTGCTCCACGAGCGAATGGTTGCCGGTGGTTACCGGGTGGATTACGGACGGGACCTACGAAGTTCGTGCCCCCCCCTCCCCCCACTCTGTCACAGACAAGAGGAGCACCACTGCACTGCGGTCGTCAAATCTACAGTGGCTACCGAATCGGTGTGGAGCCCACCGCTCGTGCGCTGCCTGAACTCGCACACTCCATCCTGCAACACAATCGGCGTCGACATCACACGTCGACTTGGCGGTACCGAGAATTGTGTCCGAAGTTGTGGATGTTTAGCCGTATTTAAACATTGTAGGGGTGTCCAGAGACACATGCCATGTACCGTACCTGGCTCCACTGGCGCATCCCCGGCAATAGATCACGGCTACAGCCGGGGCTCAGGGAGAGGCGCGGCGAGTGATCCATCTTTGCACGCAAATTGTAACGAGCACCTGCCTTGGGCAAAAGTGATCTGTAAACTCTCCAGCTGAGCAATTATACACTCCAATTATACACTCCTTGCAACAGTTGGGGCATAAATAAAAAGTAAATAATTTCTCAGATCTTTGTGAAGGCCTCCCCATGCGGCTGACCATATTTCATTGCTCTGATCCGTGCGAGTTCGCTAAGATTGGGGGGCGGGGAACAAGGCCATTCAGATGTCGCTCACCACTGATTGTTCACTGCCATGGTTGGGAATCACACTCAGGTTAGTGGACTCGTGGCGTGGGGCACTCACCGCTGTCCAGATGCCCCACTGTCTAAACCTGGAGACGGCTGCCCCCATCACTGCCGTATCTCTATGGTCAAAGCTTCCGCCGTGAATGACGCAATCATCACCCGCATCGTGCGGAGAGAGAAACCCCCACAATATGGGACATTATAAAATAAATTTTCGCCCAAAATTCTATTCCGTTTATGCCATCGGCCTCACACAATGAGATCAAGCAATCGCCATTCAGAACGTTGCTGCGAGCAGTGCATAGTGAGCTTCAAATTACACGCAAACACTGCGTGCAAAAAGCACGCAGTCTCTGTGCGCCTGCAAAAACCATCGGCACTTTCCAAAGAAGTGCCCTGTGGTACTGTCGTTTTAGGCCCACCATCAAAATTAATTGGAGCCAATGTGACCGACTGACAGCGGCAGTGATGGAGTGATGGATAACTACGGACCGGTTTCACCCTCGTGAGGACCACTCCACAGTTGTCGCTTCACTGCATCACTGCTGCTACCATCGGTCGGTCACATCCCTCAAAAGTATTTTGATGGTGGGCCTAAGACAAGAGGACCACAATGCACTTCATCAGCAAGTGCCAATGGGTTTATTGGAAATGCACACAGGCTGTGTGATTTGTAACACGTGTCATCTGCTCATTGTGCAAAACTGTTGTCTGGCCTGCGCTATTATTCTGTGGTGCTGTGGGTTATCTCGTCACCTACAGAATTGAGCAGTAACATCGTCAGCCTGCGTCAGAGAAGGGCCTCTGAAGATATCTTCGTAGAACTACTTCTGAAGTCACTTGAATAGAGCTCCATCCACACAAGGAGCATAACTTTCAATGCCCTGTAAATAGCAGCATTAAGTCTCACATACGCAACTTAGGCAAATTAAGAGAAAACAAAATATATACTTTATGGTGGGCTTGTTTAGTAATTGGTGACTGTGCTGAGGCCATCAACTCACTTCACTTAATAAGCCAGTTCGTTCCCACTCTTTGTGAGGCTATGAGTGTTTATATAAAAGTCGATGGGTCTGTGTATACCTATGGTTTTATACACAAGTCTATCAGTCTCTTTGTGAGTCAATGGGTGTCTGTGTTAAGGTTATCGGTATCTAATGGAACCCCCCTAATTGAACATCTTCACCGGTTATAAAAATTTAGGCTGGCTTGTCTACGATCAATCCTGGGTTTAACCAGGCTGGATTGTGTGAGGAGCTCACAAATCCTCAACAGATCTGGACAAAGTCCCATCGGTGAGCTCCTCCGGCAGGCAAGGCTGCGTTGGCTAGGTCATGTAGTCCGCATGCCCAGCTACCGCATGCCTAAACAGCTTTTGTTCAGCCGGATCGAGGAGGCTAAACGGGCACGGCACGAGCTAGAGAAGAGATGGAGTGATGTGGTACAGGAGGACGTGGAGCTGAGTGGACTTGCCGATGACTGGTACCAGCGGTGTCAAGATCGGCCTCTGTGGAGGAGGCTCGTCAAGAACGCTACTGGGCAGTTGGAGGCAGTCGCCCTCCAACAACAACGGAGGGCGGAGGAGCGACACTCACAACAACGAGCGGAGTGCCGGGTGGCTAAAGCACAGCAAGTTGGCACAGTAGGGGGCACAGGTGGTGCATGAGCCAGTCATCTCGATCATCTCAATCAGTCGACCCGTGGCACCTGGGTCTAGCCCCGTGACCTCCTGCCAGCGGGCGTTCGACACTTCACGTGGCCTCAAGGTGCACATGGCCTGGCACAAGCGTCGTAGTGACGTCACCGCCACTTAGTGGCGAATGGTTGTTGTTGTTTTTGTTGGTATCTAAGTGAGTTTATGAACATCTATGGGTCTATATGCGAGTCTAAAAGGTCTATATGTAAATCATTGGCCATTGGGCTGAGACCATCAACTGCCCACACTTGATGACAGCTGGAACCTGGATTAAAACCCAGGGTCTCCGTGGTCCTGGTTTGGATGCTCTCACACCTGAGTCAACTGGCCACATGAATTACTAATTTTTCATGTGGTAGCTGCATAACAACAATAATAATACAATCACAGTTAAAAGATACCACGGCTTCCCTCTGCCAATGAGACCAGGTTTCCCAGTGTGTTCCATGCTGGGCACATTCAATGGCGCTGATTGAATGGCGGTGGGGGGGACGGAGAGGAGAGGGGGGAGGGTCTGCACGCCCGATGCGACGTGCATTTTCGTGCTCCACACGCGCCCTCAAAATTGATCACCGAGGATTGACTTTCAGTTGGAATTTAAACCGCGGCCAGGCCAACTGTTTGCCTATAAGCAAAGGTCACAATATCGACGATAAGTTTCTGGTGTTTTTTTTTACTTTGGGGCAGTGACATGGCCTCAATAAAACGAGTGTCATGCTGCGTGTCAACAACAGCGGGCGCTTGTCGGCGGTTAGATTTGATCTCCCGGCGCGGCAGTTTAAATAACAGGCACGTTTCTTAAATCCGCCCACCTCTGTCCACCCAGCAGTACACCACAAGTTTATCGACCAGCAGGTCACGTGGTGCGGCAAAGCGTGGGTACTGCCGCCTCTTCGAGGATGTCTACCCAGTGTGGAGGAGGAGGTCACACTACGCTCTCGAGGGGACCTCCAGAGCTCACTTTTGTGGAGGCCCTTCTGCCAGCAGTGGCGTGAGCAATACATTACAGGGCTGCACCTTTATCCATTTTATGTAAACCTCCTGACAATGATCCACAGAGGGTCCACATCTGGTTAACGAGCAGATAATTAGCGCCATGGTTAAAGTTCTCAGTGGGTGCGCGGCAGCGCTAGTCACTGAGAGGTGCGGAGATGTTTCAAAGCCTCATTGCAAAGCAACTACGACGGTGATGATAATGATGATGGGAACGATGTGTAACGAACGGGTCGCAGGGTAACTTTGATTCTGGTACTCACCGTTGATCGTCACTGCGAGTGGTTATGGCCAGCGAGGGAGGAAAAACAAGAAAAACGCCGCATTGCGGTGAGATTGTCACAGCGCTGCGCCCACGTTGGTTGCAAACGTTTGGCTTCACGGCCACGCGTAACACCATCGCACATTAGATGTAAACAATACGGCTATCGCTCGAACATTGATTTACAAAAAAATGCTGGGAGAGATACCGTCGGCTTAACTGAAATCATGGATAACACCACTGCTGATATGGGTCAAAAACAACATCACTTAACACTTGGCATCTAGTGCTGATAACTTGCAGTAGAGTAATTGCTTTTAATAACATTTAAACATATATAATGAATCAACTACAGGCAACCACAAATGTATTTGCAACAAGTCATTATTATCACATCACTCTACATTGACGAAATATTACAATTCTGACACGTGGCTTTGCCTGCCTGTAAAAGTGACATCAGCAAAGCATCTCCTTGTCCAAATGTGGATGGGCCGGTAATCGTGTTTGTTAATAGCCTTGAACCAGTGGTGGGAATTCCACATTGCTATGGTGGTGGCCAGTATATCCATAGGACAAAATAAAAACCACGCTATGTTGTTTTCAAGCCCAAACTAAAGGGCCAAAGCATGGGTCGGAGAAGGCAGTCAGGATCTGTTGCTTGAGATGTTCTGAGCATTCACGAGCAATTCCTTCACGGGGCTCAGCGCACACCGAGAGCTATTCTACTGCTTTGGAAGGACGCAGACCATGCTGCCACTGCTCTTTCTCTTGTACAATAACGGCATTTATAGGGCGTTCAAAAAAAAACCCCGACAGCAGCGATGATGATTATGATGATGACAGATTTCCAATCAATCACAAAACCAACGATGGGCCAATGAATGTGACACACGCGAACACAAAAGCGCACCGTCATTGTTCAAAATGAGTTATCTCTCAATGGTGTTGAGCTATGCAATGGGAACAGACACAAAACCACTAAAAACCAACTGCAAGCATGTAAGTAAGCGTTTTCTACTGGATAGCTCTCACCTAAGACCTCTGTAGGTACAAACAGGTCATCGGGGACTGGCCCATCCAGCAGAGTGAGCAAGTTAAGAAAGAAGCAGAACAAAAAGGAAGAATTACAAATGGTGTGAGCTTTTCCCGTCAGCGCCCACACCTGCACACACACCTGTACACTCCACCGCCCCCCCGCCACACCCCCCGGCGAGGGTTGCCCCACCTAGGAGGTGCACAACAAACGGCACGTGTCATGACAAGAAGAATGGAATGATGGTGTCCCCAGAGCGCGCGAGGGGAGAGCGACTCGTGCGCGAGTCGTCTCGAGGAGCGCTCCGTTATTACACGGACACAGGGCAGCCACCTCCTCTGCAAGAGGACGATCCTCTGGGAAAACCAGGGACAGGTGGCAAACCTGGCCGCGGCGGCCGCATCCACCACGCCGGTGACAACGCACTCGCTACGCCGTATTCCGTCCGCAGTCCCGAGTCTGGTCGACGCTGACCTGCCGGTGGAGTTTCAGTCAAGCCCGAGGCTGCGGATTTCATTGTCGGCATTCTCCGAGTTTAGTCAACTAAAGCAGTCGAACGTGTCTGTGAAACGTTCTCGGTTATTAAACGCGTCGTGAGGAGCGTGCTGTCGCTCCCCCCAAACCCAGCCACTTTATGACAGCCAATTAGTAAACCGAGTCAATCTTTTTGTCTGTACATACACAGCCAATTACCATGTTAGGCCTTCCCCAGTGTATTACTGTCAACTGTCAATAATAAAGTTACTCAATTATCTCGGCCTGCGTCCTCATTTAGACTCGATAATTTCGTCTCATCACAGTCGGTCTGCGCCGGGCAGACACAGCCACAGTCACGCCCAGTGGTTTCTGTCCCCTCAGCCGCGTCACTGCCTAAATCAAAATATAACAACCACCCCGTTGACAAATATTTTCGTCACTAATTTAGTTAACGAGATTAACGTCGGTCCAGACGCACGCATGGCACGGAGGGAAATGTCGGGTAATCAATCAACTTCCCCGCAAATCGGCTACGGAGCTACGCATAGCTGACGGAGGCGCCCCGGATGCCTCCCAGGGCCTAATGATTTAAAGGTTACTCGGAAAAGTGTGCGGCAACTCCTCTGGAAGCCGCGCGCGTGCGATCCATTATCGCCGTGGGTTTCCGCGCTTTTGCTGCGATTATTAATTGGCCAGAGGACACTGTTTAGTGTCACCGCTGATTTTTGTCTTGGGACGCCGCAGAGCGGACAGCGGCAGCTCTTCTATTGCAGGGGCTCAGCAACACTCGACAAAACACCAACAGCAGCAGCAGCTGCTGCCATACGTGCAAAGAGGCGGTGGTGTCACCACAATGCCCGTGCCGGCTCGGGGCGCTTTGTGACATCTGGAAGGCTCGCCGACAGGTTCAGGTGGTCAGGGTTAACCGACCGAGATGACTGACGGATGCTTCCCATTGCACCAGCCCAAGGCACGTACGTAAACACGCATGCATGCATACATACATATTTTTCCACTAAGATAGAGCCCTTACATACACTGTAGGGCCAAAGAAAATCCCAACCAGGTTCTTGGATCACAGTGCGGAGCGCTAACCACTACGCCACCACTACCGACAATACATTACTCACATAGGTGCAGACGTAGTGACGTCACTGTGTAATGCCGGCTCTAGAGGGGCACGGGGTGCGATGTACTCACATCGCGGACACCCCGTATGTAGCGACATCGCTGATGCCTCGTACATGTGGGTGTAGTACCGGCCCTAGAAGGGCTCGGTGAGCGCTGAGTCGTAGCGCTGAGTGGCACCACGCTCTGCGTGCAGTGCCGACCCCTACAGGATGGAGTGTGTCGGCCAGGGAATGGGGTTACTTTAGGCCGTGGCACTCTGGTTGACCCCGGAGGACACGTGACTGGTAAAGTCTACACAGGGGCCCCAAATCGGGGGGGCTGGGGGTGGTCACGTGTCGGGGCGAGATCCTGCGAGAAGGTGGTCGTGGCCAAGGGCGAAGCCAGCCACGACCAGGGAGGATAAAAGCCAGGTCCCCAGAGGGACCGGGGTTCGGCGTTGCTGTTGTTGTATCCTGAAGACGTCTACGTTCTACGTCCTGAAGAGTCACCAACACGTGGACCCGGACCCAGGCCGGGGTCCGGTCCGTTGTAGTTAAGTTACATAGTAATTAGCGCAGTTAGCCTGTGGTCCACCACAAAAGGTTGTTATCTTGTTAACCCCGAGTGTTGGTATAATACATGTGCTGCCTCCAAGAAGTGCGTATGCGACTCAGTTGAACTCATTACACATATATTCCACAAACACACCCAACAAACATTTCCTGTACAGCCTACACGGACTGTTGCAGCAAGCGCTGTTAGTGAGCACCCATTAAAGCTGGTACGGTGCATCAGGGGGTGGCGTTGGCAATACCACGCCCGGCCACCTTTGTCTCTCCAAAGTGTTGATGTCTTAACACCACACAAAGTACTCATTAAAGGCTGAGTCAACTTAGGACAGGGAATTGAACCATTTTCGTTCAGTTTATAGTGCAGTGCACTAACCAGTGCACCCACCACTCCCCTCAATTCGACACGCACGCACACACGCAACACAAACACACATTCGCACTCGCGCACACATCACCGCTCCACAACGTCAGGGTCAGGATTTTAATGAAAGATAGGAGGACGTCGCGCCAAGATAAAGTAACACGGCGATTGCGATCCAGGAGGGCTGGGACGGGTCGCCGGGTTAAATGAAAGTGTGTAGGCCAACACATTAACGCTGTTGACTCCATTCGCCAGCTCTTCATGGCCTTGTTTGACTCATGTAAACGGGTGGCGGTGCGCTGCCAAGTAATAGCGAGATAAATTTGGCGAGCCAAATGCAATTTCCTGTCGATTTAGCAGTCCGGCAAAAAAACAAACATTACCCAACGGAGCTGCCGTGGGGTCGCGTGGAATATTGCAGGGTTTAGGCAAGCGCATCGCAGGGCAAATATTTGCCCAGGAGCTGAGAGCTACAGGAAAGAGGAGCAAGGTATGGCCCGGCCAATATTTACAGAGCAACGCACCCTTGTGCGGGTTGCCCCGTTCCATGGGTTTCAGTTCACGAGTTGCCCCGGCTCAGAAGCGCGCAAGCCGCCATCGACATTGGAAATGGGCAAAAAAAAATGTTCGAGTGCGAACGCGGCCGTTGAGTTACCACGACATTTAGAATTCCTCGCGCACGAACCCCCTGTTTGTTTCTCGGCGTTCCCTGTTACGGGGCTAAGTTCGTCCGCCCCATATTTACGTTTAAAATTTTGGCAAAGTCATTCTTCCAACACAGCCTGCTACTTAAAATCACGCCTAAATGAACGTCCACTGCACGATTCCCTTCTAATTAACGATTCCGGCTCCGTCGCAATTAGCGCATTTACTTCACGGAGCCGCACCTCACGCTCGCACATTGGGAAAATGTAACGCTGGGATTTTAATTGGGGGTCTCGAACATTTCCGTGAACCAGATTTGGGGCACTGAACTTGACCCCAAGAGAGCATGGCGCGCTGTAGGTTCTGCAGCCCACCACCATGTGTGTTGAACCCTGGGGAGCAGTCGAGTCGTGGTTAGCGCTACGCTGCGCTACGAACCCGGCGACCCGAGGTCGATTCCCACTCACGGACAACACCAGTGATGATTATCTGAACCAGTTCTGGGCCTCCCCTAGGTCGACTCAGCCTCAAAAGAGTACCTGGTGCGGTGTGTAGTAAACATAACCACTGGGGAGACAAAGGCGGTCGGGCGTGGTGCTGGCCACTCACCCCCTCGTGTGCCGTGCCAGGGTGCTTGTGAACAGCTCTTGCCCCAAAGTCTGTTAAGGCTATACGGGAGATCTTTGCCTTTGTATGTTGAACTGACGCGCATTCACAACCTGCGCTCTTTGCAAGGTCGCTAACAGCGTCCGTGCCGCAGCAACGCGATTAGCCAATTGCTGCACTTTGCTGCCACTTAGTTTGCTCACACAACACTCAATTTAGCCGATTGCAGATGTCGCAGACGCGTCTCTTGGCGTTAAAAGCGGAGCGTCGCGTCGCTTAAATCGCGGTAAACAGTGGCTCGCCCAACGCCGCTACGCACATGCGCGGGGTCCAGCAGCGCGGCCGGGACTCGGTTTGATTCGAGACTCGGCATCGACGACTCAAAGGCGCGCTGCGGCACACAACGAGCGACGGGCTTTGAGACCTGCCCAGCGTCGAGCGGCGGGGGGAGGAACAAATGAAATAAAACGACGACAAAAATCAACAAACTCAAGCACACAGACAAGCACGGGGACCCACGGCCGAATGCTGGACACGCACATGCACACATGCACGCACGCACGCGCACACACATGCACGCACGCGCACACACGCACGCGTGGGAGCTTTGGAGCATGCCGTGTGACCGGGCGAGGCGGGGAGGGGCGGGGAGAGGGCGCACGGAGGCCGGGGTGTGCACAGCGGGCGTTTCAGCCGGTGGGTTACCTTGGATGAAGTATGGCTGTGCAGTTCTGCAGGAGGTGCCATGGGTTTGAATGGTGGTGGATGGAGAGGTGTAATACGCTGCACGCAAAACAAAGAGCAAACAGGGCCGGCGTTTGTGAGCGAAAAATAAGGGGGGGGGGGGAGGTCGCGCGCGTGGGCGCCGATTCGCTCCGGCGCTCGTAAGCGCGGAGCGCGCAAGGCGAAGCGACGCGCAGAGCGGCGAGCGCCGTCGGTCAAAGCGCTGACGGCTGCGAATTAAACACGAGAGGCGTGGGCGGGAGAGACACGCGCACAGCGATGACGAACACCGCGACGAGGCGCAGTCTCGACACGAATGGAGCCGTGTGAAACTTAACAAATTAGTAAACGTCTCGTCGTTAAATCATCGCGCTTCCCTGCCTGTGCTCGGTGGCTCAGCTCGTGTACCCCGTGTGGGATTTGGGGCTACGTGGAGCTGTGTGAAGTAACGTGGAGCTGCGTGGAGCTTTGTAGAGCATGTGTAGATTATAGTGGAGCTATGTGCAGTGATGTGGAGTCGCCTATCGCTGCATTCAGCTCTGTGATGTTGGAGCTGTGTGGAGGAGATGTGTTGAGTTGCGTGGCGCAGTGCACAGCCTGTGACCTGCAGCACACAGCTGCAGCGCAAGAAGCCGATAGCCACACAGCGTTGTTGTTGTTGTCGTCGTTGTTATTGTGGGGCCGACGCCTCTGCAAGGCGTTTATTCTGATTAAGGATTTTCTCGGAGGCAAAATCAGCGATCATTTGTGAGCTCCGGTGTTGACAATCACAGCTCCATGCATGATTTTTTTTCAAAGAATTTGAACGCACGACAATAAAAAAATCTCCTGAAAAGGAAACCTTGATGATTCACTCACAACCTTCGTGACTCTACTCCAAAAAGTTTAGTAATTCACGAGTAAAAAGGATGAACACGGAGGTTGCAGTGACAATCGTTATTCAAGCAGCCCTTCAACACCCACGACGCATTTAGCGTTGCTTTGCCTCCTGTCCTTGACAAAATACTCACACATTGGATCTTGATTTGAAGCTTTCGTGACTGCAGGAATCCATACTCTTTGGTTCTTTGGGTAAAGTCACGTAGGTATAAAATAAAATAAATCACGACGTTTCGGGCGCAACACAAGCGTCCGTCATCAGGAGATGGAGCAAAGAATGTGGCCGTAATAATCCACGTAGCAGGTGCTGGGTGGATGACTACACCACCGAGTCGTGAGAGACCGTGGCGGCTTGATGAGTTCAACCAGCAGTGGATTAACGACGGCTGATTGTTAGTTTCGCCGTTGTCATTAGTAACACAAAAACTAGAATGGCCCGCGTGGAAAAAATGCACGTGCGCTCAATGGCCTTCTGAGATTGCGTGACCCGCTGACCTATGGCCATTGACCTGTGGGGCCAATAGGGCCGGGCTACATTGGCCGAGGTCATTGTAGAGTTCTAGATTTGAAGCTTTCGTGACTGCAAGGATTCATACTCTTAGTTCTTTCGGTAAAGTCACGTAGGTAAAAAATGAAATTAAAATTAATAAAAATAAAACAATAAAATCACGACGTTTCGGAGGCAACACACGTCTCCGTCATCAGGTGGGACCGTCACAGCCAGATTTGCAGCAAATCTGGCTGTGACGGTCCCACCAGATTTGCTGCAAATCTGGCTGTGACGGTCCCACCTGATGACGGAGACTTGTGTTGCCTCCGAAACGTCGTGATTTTATTGTTTTATTTTTATTAATTTTAATTTAATTTTTTACCTACGTGACTTTACCGAAAGAACTAAGAGTATGTCATTGTAGAGGTCAGGAGCGCACAAGGCGAGGTCGCTATTCTTGGCATCGACCGCCCAGCCGACGGAGGCATGGTGGTCGGCAGGCGACGCCAGCCAACCTCGACGGGGACCACCACCACGGCGGCCTCGTTGTCCTGCTAGGCATGCTCCTTTGGCCTATGTAGGTAGTCCTACCCAGCAGGCCAACTGCAACTCGCCTACTAGGTCGACTGTTGTTGACTCGGCTGAAGGTACGTGGAACAAAGATAAAGACAAAAATCCCGATGTATCCGACACAGACTCTTGAGGTAAGTAAGTCCTATTAGCAAGCAACGATCAAGCCCGGCGCAGCGCACGAGTGCTGATGTTTGCACATCACGGCAACTACTCAATTAAGGGTGAGTCGACCTATGGGAAGCCCAGGAATAATAGTTGTTAGCCACTGATGTTGGCTGCGAGTGGGGATCGAACTCAGGGTTTGTATTGCAGAGCATTAACCCCGACACTCCCACTCCCGTAGGATTCTACATTTCTGCCCGGTTTTGAACAGGGGGACCATCGTCGCGTGTTAGGTGACCGTGATAACCACTGCACTACGGAGACCACACGAGCACACGGAGTCTGGTGCTGGGCCACACAGGCAACCGTGCAATGCAACCCCGGCCTCGTGCACGCTCGCTGGATACGCAGCGTACGGCGTGGACGCCGGGATGGACGTCGTACGGTCGCTACCGATGCCGGGCACAGGACCCCCCCTCGGACTTCCTCCACAACCATCGTCGCGACCACGAGTGGGACACCGAGCCCAACGCCAGCTACACAGCTACCAAACCAAACCGGCACTGGCGCCGGCTCCTGCAGCAGACGCTCCTATCCCAGCCCTGCAGGCTAGCCCCCAATCCCATTTGTCGTACGCTCAGTTTCGTTGTTGTTACATTAAACATTTTGTGCATGTAGCAAGGACCGTTGGTCACTTAATTCAACGTAAGCCATCAATGGAGCAATCCTTGATAGCCGTAATGATGAGGGCAGATCAAGTGAACTAAAACAAATGTCGCGACTATTAGCATCATCTGCTTAACATAACACAATTAGGATTCATAATAGAGGTTTTTTTGGGTTAGATCGCATGAATATATAAATGTGTCGTTAAACCCACCACCACCCGACACAGCCAATTAGTAAGGGTTGTCATGTAAACAGAACATGCCAATTCGTTACCAGTACAACACACCGTTGTGTTGGAGAGCAAATGTATGTATCATGTACGTTGATTGCCATATGAATAACCCAACCGGCAATGGATACCCATTGTGATTTATATGCATTCATTAATGCCTCCCCCCCTTCACACGTGAAGGGCTCACAAGTGACGTCATCACAAGTATCCCTCTATTTAAGAAAGGATACAGGAGGATTTCTCCACAAATTTAAATGTCACCTGATGAAGCTAATTGTAATTACTGGCGAAATGTCGTACTCAGATTGTAAATGTTGTGGCTTGGCTCCACACTGGTGTGCTGTACTAGTAACGAATTGGCACGTTTTGTTTACGTGACAAACCTTACTAATTCACATTTATATTTACGCGAACTAATCCAAAAAACCTATATGATGGATATTGGTCGCGAAAGCATACGTGTTAAACTGACAATTCGGGTGTTTTTGCACAACTGGAAACGACACGAGAACATGTGGCTTGTGCTCCAATTGTGGCCGACATTCACTGTGATGCACGATCGCTCGTCAACTAAACGAGTCGTAACTGAGCCTTGCTCGCATGTCAAGAATATCCACGGTGCGGTGTCTCCCACCAGCTCCTCGTTGTGCCATCATCACGACTCTCCTCCTCCACCAAACCACGCGAGGAAGCGTGCCGGCGGCAGCCACGACAGCGGTGGCGGTAGTGTCGGAACTTTATCCTTCAGAGCCATCCGGCCACTTCAACATTCAAGGACGTAATATTCCCTCTGCCATTCACAGCAAAAAAAATGCTCCCGTTCTGCTGCCTGCTTTGTCTCCGATGCACAATTTGGGGTTGAGGATACAATCTCGGCAGTTGGTGGGCGTGGGCTACAAGAATTACGAGTTTTGTGGTCGCTATGTGGCCTGGTATCACCGGAGCATGTGACAAGAACACATCCTTTTGACTATCCGAGACTATGCGTGCAGTGCGGGTGCTTACTCGCTATGATTTAGGGGAGCGACAGTGCCACTTGTAAATAATGTGGCATTTGTGAAAAGTTGCGGGTTTGTTATTTTGAAATGTCAACTCAATTGAATGTTTATTTGTTTGCTTATGTAAGTATATTTGAACCCACTCTGTGTCGCACTTTCATTGCCTTCCACTGCATTTTGTGCTTTATATGCCTCGAGCGTGTACTGCTATGGCATTGGGCAGCTGAACAACTGTGCAAGACTTCTCGGAATACAAGGAAGGAGGAAGGGAGCTTTCTGATGTGGAACCGAAGCCCTTGAACTGACAGTGGTTTGTGTCAGCGGTTCGTGCACTGCGCTACGGACCTGGCCACCCGAGTTCGATTCCCGTTCGTGGCTAACGGCTAAATATCTGAACCGGTTCTGGGCCTCCCCGGCAGGTCAACTTGGCCTTACAGAAAGTATCCTGGGTAAACATCAGCACCGGGGAGACAAAGGCGGTCAGGTGTGTTGCTAGCCATACTATCCCATCATGTGTGCGTCGATCTTCATAGGCATTTGCTACTGTTCAGCACTTGCTCCAACAGCCTATGAAGGCTACACGGGGGATCTTTGTATTTAGTTGCCTACGTGCATTACACAGGTTCACATTCCCCCAGTTCACACAAAAACGTGCTCAGGGTTCCGCAGCAGGCGCAGGGAAGTGCGCGGAGGATAAAATCGTGTGCCCATTCAGTCTGGCCCCGAGACGTCTCCCAAGTTAACCCCTTAGCTGCAACACGTGCAGGCATGCCCTGCATGCCTACGCCGGAATTACATCTCCATAAACATTGATCTAAAACATTTTTTGCGAGGTCCCTTTGTCCTTCTGGAACAATTTTTGTATGTATTTATCATTATTATTCGTAGCAGTAGTTGTATGGTTTATAGAGCGGACGCCCACACACAAAGTTGAATTTTTTTGGACGCTGTGTGCCGAGTGGAATAATTGGCTGGCGTATCGATGACGCCTCCTAACCCCGCCGCCGCGAGCCATTGTCTTTCCTGCGATGTACAAACATGAAGCCACCTACAAGTGACAGCCAAGGTTATTTACAACAAACCCAGGCCTGTAATTTTAATTCTCACTCTGAATAATTATCAGCGCTGTGTGTGTGTCGCCGCGTGTGTGTGCGTGCACGTGTGTGGCTGCCACAGGAGGGAACCGAAAGACAAATTATTTTGTTGGCACGTCGCGAATGAATGCTTCAATGAGCCTCCGCTCGTAGGCCACGTGGCGTCAGAGTTCATCAAGTGGCCACATACGTCGCACTTTGCCTGCGCAAATGTGTCAATTTTAAAAAATATAATCTCATCCCTGTCTTAAAATGACAATACGTGTGATTATACCGTCAGCGCTATTCGGTGTTTTTCAGAGTAACATTTCGTCTCGTGACAAGCAAATGGCATCATTGAAATTGGCCCTTTTGAAATACCACGGGCGACTGAATGAACCCCCCCCCACCCCCCAGCTTTAAGAAGGAGCCGCTATGATGGTCACATGCTCACCTCCCGTCAGTCAAGCGCACAACATGCTCATCGCAACACCGTCGTATCGAGAACGTTGATCCTCCTCCCACGTGGAACAATAGCCTCTCTCGTGCGACCACGTTCGCTCTAAGGCTGGAGTAGGCACGCGACGAGCAAACAAAGCCGTCGTGAGAGGCATACTTCATGCGGTGTGCCGGGTACTGAAATATATTCCAGCAAAATGTTTAAATCGTGGTTGACGAGCACATAAAATGGCTATGACACAAAAGCCATATATTCCCCCAACTGCCGTGAAAAACTGTTGGGAGAAAGCGCCATGAGTTGGAATCTACGAAGGCTGACACGGTGCACGAGGAGGTTGTGCCACCAGTACCACGCCTGGCCACCTTTGTTTCCCCAGTGCTGATGTTTGCTCATGGCACCAGGCGGTTGTTGTTATGCTGTGGCTGCAACCAGGTTTCTACGGTGTAACTAGGTCCACATCCAAAACGAGTATTGCCCAGTCGATTTTCCCTGTTCCAATATACTGCAAATACTTATTTAATGCCAAGTCAACGTAGCGGAGGACCCACGACCAGTTTGGATAATCGCCAACGATGATTAGCCGTGGCAGAGAATAAGACCGACTAGCTAACCATTACACGCGCGCATAAACATTCACATGTATTGAGATGAGTGGAGGAGTTGTGCATGCACGATAAGCATGCAGTGGGGATGACTATGTATGGGCGTAAAAGCACGGCGTCAAATCTCAACCCCCAGTGATTTCACGAAATTGTCACAATTCAGGGTCACGATTCCATCCAAAAGTCGATGCTCTTCTGCTTGATTTCTACCGTCTCTTGTTTGCACTGCTTCTTATCTCTTCTGTCTCGTCCCCACAATTCTGATGACCGCATTACGCTCAACGCGTTTGCATACACAACCTCTGAACAGGTCACAAACAAGCAATTGTTCCCATTCACAAACTGAACGTGTGTACCAAGGGCACAATAACCGCCTGGACTCTGTTCTAATCCACCCAGCGTCACTTGCCCTGCTATACGGGGGGTGGTGAGGGGGGGTTCTGGGTGTAGCTGTCGGGATTTTAAACAATTCAGCAAAAAGAAATTCAATTATATCAACAACACACGTAAATATATGTAGTGACGTATATTGAGTCACTACGGCGTTTAGCGACAGCTACTGAGGCACCAGAGTATGTATGGCATGGAAGGGGGCCCTAGGGGGCATGGTTCTGGTGACAAGTCAGAGAGAGGGCAGGTGAGGACGGGACAGTCTGGGCAAACCCGAGAGGGCACGTGACCAGGACAGGATAATGAGGGGGGCCAGAAGATTGCGAGAGGGACACGTGATGTATAGCCCAGAACCTTCTAGTAGGATCTAGAAGGGGGCGTGGCCGAGGGCGGAGTCAGGCCACGCTCAGGGGCATAAAAGGGAGGTCCCGAGAGCCGATCGAGGCTGTCTGTTGGAATGGAACCCGTCGGTGCTACGTCTCTTCGATGCTCGGTCCTCGGTCTTCGGTTTTTACGCTCGCTATCGTGGGTCAGGCAGTGTGTTACTGACTGACCCAGTTATGTAGTTACCCCATTGTGGTCTAGTTACCCCGTTGTGGTCTAGTTAACCAGTGTACGTTTATGTAGTTACCCTGTTGGGGTGCGAGAATAGCGTGTTGCCTCCACGTTCAAGTATGTACCTCCGTGGAACCCACTACATATATACAAGGAAAGTGTATTGCTTATTATGCCCTTGCAATTATACCTTGGTCTCTTGCCATGGTGGTAATATGCACCAAAGTTTAAAAATGAAGACAATTAGCACGGTGCATCGGGGATGTCGTCAGCTTTTTGACGTCTACCATCCCGAGCGGCGCGCTCCTCCGAAAGCAGCGCTCGCAGCTGGCAAGTAACTTCGCACAATTGTCTCCTCTTTACCACAGCCTATGGCAGCCTCCACACTCGTTAGGGGCCTGACCTTCTGCAGAAAATGCCCTCAGAGATGCTGCTCTTAACGACAGCAACAACGACAACGACAACCATTCACTGACTCACAACATCACTCAGTGAGTGAAGGTGTCCTAACGCTCACTCACGCTGCTCTTATCTCTCCTGGTGGGTGGGTGAGTGACTGGGTGGGTGAATGAGTGATTGAGTGATTAGACTGAGCGAGTGGCTGAGTGAGTGAATGGCTGAGTGAGCGATTGGGTGGATGGGTGAGTGGGAGAGTGAGCCAGTGATTAGAGTGTGCATGAGTGGGTAAGTTAGCGAGTGGTTGACTAAGTGGGAGAGCAAGCGAGCGAGTGGGTGGTTGAGCGGGTGGATAGTTGAGTGGGTGGGTGGGTGGTGGGTGGTTGAATGGGTGGGTGTTTGGTTGAACGGGTGGGTGGTTGAGAAGGTGGTTGAGCAGGTGGATGAGTGGTTGAGTGAGTGAGTGGATGAGCGACTCCGAAAGTGAACAGGAAAGACAAATTGAACAAAATGGGGTTTTTTGTGCAGCCATCAGCGACCGGGCCGAAGCCACGAGCTCGCCCCACGTGCGAGCGCGTGCCGCGCTGCGTCGCTCACATTGGGTGCTGACGTTGTGCGTGTCCAGGAAGGTGCCCTGGTCGTCGATGAGGGTCAGGCTCTGGTCACCGTAGCCGCGATCCATCGAGTTCACCATGTGCGTCATCTCCTGCCGCGTGGCGCTCACAGTCTCCTTGCGCTTCTTCGCCAGTTTTCTGCGTGAAGGGGATCAGAGGCCGGTGAGCGACGGACGCCGGCAACGGGAAGAGCGCCGGCAGCGGCGTGCGGCTGGGCACGCCGCGATGCCGCGACGCAGCGTCGCGTATTACAAGCGGCAGCACCGATTCGTTAGCCGAGGAATAAGTGAAAGATGTGACGCCGTTCGCAACGGAGCATTATAAGTAGTGATGGAAATTACGGACGCATTGATTCCTTGTTAATATTATTGCTATTGATTGGATTCGTGTTGCTTCTTAAACTCTCGATATATGTATCAATATGCTTGTGTAAGAAGCAATTGTTTTTGATTGGCACATGTCGTATGTAATCGGGCTCGTGTCACCTCGGCAGCCCCTAAAGGCGCTACCATTCACAGACTTTAATCAAATAATCGATTCTCGAACCGTGACAATCCAACAATTCGGCAGGAGTGGTGGTGGGGGGCGGAGGTGCAGTTAGTTGTATTCTACCGCTAATGATAAGTAATTCATTTCTGCTCTGTTTCTGCCTTCACCTCACGAGTAGCACAACAAACAAAACGGTTGTTCCATTGAGACAACGCCATCACGTTACGTGGGCCAGGTTGCTTGATTATCTTACTCTGCCACGGGGTAGAAATGTTTTACTTGTTTTCTGTATTAAAGTGCTCATGACATGACTAGGAGAAGCCTCACTATTCCAAAAGGTCTTCAACGTGACCAACATAACATTGATAAGGTCGATGCATTACACATTCATTAAGCACACACTGACAAATTTAAGCTCCTTCCAGGGCTGGGATGCAGCATTCTAAATTAAATTATATGAGCCACAGTAGCGTGACTGTGGCCATGCAACCCAAATCATGGGCTGCCAAGTCACCCATCTGTGGTCTGCGCTCCTTCAAGAGAGGAGGAGGAGGAACAGCGACATGACACGAACTCTTTCTCTCTGTCCACTGAAATCCGATCGTCCAGGCCAGCAGCAGCAGGACCGCGACATTGGTCTTGAGCTCCTGAACCATATCGCTGCTGCCATCGTGCGCAGGGATAGAATAGCCTGCAGTATATTTTGACATATTTGTTTCAAGTAATGACATTCTCGGATTATGTTAATTTATGGCAAAGTTTGGTGATTTCGTGCATCTGTACTTTAATAAAAGAGCAGATGATCAAGTAAGTATTGTTCCACTAACTTACAGGGTTACTGCAATATCAATGTAAGACGTAGACATTGTTGCCTTCACTTCTAACCTCCTGAGCATTTCCCTTTGTCAATAGAGACTTTAACTTTGCACACATCTCGTGACGAATCACGACTTGAAAACAAAAACGCCAATCAGTCGCTATTCCACAAGACGCACACGGGCGAGTTCTTCCAGCGCCGTGGGACGAGAGTGGCCACGTGCGTGGCGACACGCGATGCAGTACTTCTCGGACGGAGTGAGCCCCGCCACGTGTGGAACTTCTCTTGCAATATAAATAACCCCTAACTCAGGGTCTCCCGGTGTTCCGCACACTTCTATAATTTCAACCTTCCAAAAGGTTACAAGGCAGGGGAAGCTACGGTGCGTGTAATTAGAATTTCCAACGTCTTGTACGGCAGAGCTAAAGCATTCCTAAAGCATTCCAGAACATTTAAATATAAATGCTAACAAGAAAACTTTACAATGTGTCTTTTTTTCAACAATACATCCCATCTTGGCGATTGTAATTCACGATTTTATAACTTAAGGGTACCCTCAGCTCGCCCTGAATTTTTATAACATGGCTTCATTTACATTTCGCTTGCATTTTAAAACACACACAGACACAGCAGCTCCCGCTCCGCTTACTCTCCACTTCCTATTAAATATTGCGGCAATGCCCACAGAACCCAACTCAACGATGCGCTTCTCAATTATGCAGATGTCAGATTCAACGTGAAAAAGCAGGTACGATGCCGTCTGCATCCAAAACATCCCAGCCGGAGTCTCCAGTTCGCTGCCGAGGGTGTGAGACCGGGCCACGGCACCTCACCGGGCCATCACGTCCTGGCCCAGTGTGGCAGAGGTTCCCGGTTACAAGCTAGTTGAATATCACCGGGGGACGATTCGGAGCATGTCTGTGCGCCGTCTGGTTTATGGTGGACGTTAGAGATCACGTGACATCACTCGAAAAGCAGTAGGCCATGTGTCCCCCCGGCGTCGTGGTCCGAAAATATATTTATACAACATTTTAAAAAATACTCGCAAACTACTTAAATGGGTAAACCCACACAAAAACATCGCCCACTACTGGGAAACTAAATCTGTCTGTGAAATACAGCCTTGTATAATCCCAATGGCAGTGAATACCAAAAGTGATTATAATGATTGATCGTCCCCAGCACACGTCCTGCCCACAGCCCCTGCGGCTCCTCTCGGAGCCCGGGCATCATCGTCATCATCACTGAATATTCACACCGTGCCTCCCACGCACTATACCTCGAGGTGACTGACAGCAGGAGACCCCCCTCCCTCACTGGCAGCTCTCCCTATGCGGCACAAGGTGAATGCAGCATTGGCCTGCAAGAGGGTATTAGTCTATTCTGGCAGCAGGGGGGCATGTCACTTATGTGGCTTTTCGAAATAAAGCAATTTGAATAGTTTACAAATTTGGCAACTTTGTACCACGACGCTGGCACACGTCGGACTGCTCTTTTATAAAAAAAAATGTGAAGGAGACAGCGCAACTGTCTGATTGACAACACCTGCAAGTATTATCTAGGCTGGCCGCGAGGTTCAAACCACAAACCTCTGAAACAAGCGGCAAACGCGCGCGCTGCCTGGCCACGTCACTGTTCCCGGTTGGCTGGCCCTCGTGACACCAATGCACCCTCCCCAGCTCTGCTGCTCAGCGTGTTGGCCAAAATGTTTTTGGAGTAGACACGAGCTGTCTGGGAGAATGTATCGTTGAGGTGGTTAATGGCTTGAAACGCTCCGATTCCGAGCCCTGAACACATTTAAGTGAGAGAGCAACCTCACAAAAAGCCATGGACCTGCCATTAAACAGCCCCCTGAGCACAAGCCTGAGCACACTTTGCGCAGCTTGGAATAATGGTGCGTGTGTCAGTGCCTAGATGACAGCAGATGTTGGCTATTAACACACACCCTGTATTCATTAAGAATGCACCCACATAATGGGTATCCCTCTCTGAAATACATCAGCAGGCAGCACGCTGGTGTCACGTTAGCCATGCTCAGAAGCGCCGTGGTGCCAGAGTACACAGCACCTTTGCCTAGGGAATGATCTTCAACATTTCCCTGTCCATAGCCGGTCGTGAGCCTTAAATCTGCCACATCTCTGTGCGCTCAACTGGAACACATGGCGAGCTTGGTAGCCCCTCCCACTGTCAGCCCACCCACTGCTTGGGTAGCCCCACCCACTCTGTTAGCCCCACCCACAATGTTAGCTCCACACACTACACAGGTAGCTTCGTCCTTTACAGCACTTCGAACACGAGGACATAATGTTTTAAACTGGGGCCAAAGATCACGATTTTCGCTCAAGCCACAGGACAGACTTTTTCACACCCGAAATGTCCCAGCCAATCCAGGTAGTTTGTCCCACGAGGCACGGGGGCGAATTGTACTCCAGACTGCGGTACAGGACAACATATGGTGTCCATTTTGTTTCAACTACAAAAAGTATGCATAATATTTTACCCTTACAGCACTGTAATTCTCATGAAATTTGGACAGAGTAACAGAATAACAGCAAGAGAGACTCATCTTACTAAATGCCTTATTTCATTGGGAAATACACTAGGATTTACACTTTAAACTAAGATAACCAAACCTCCACAGTGAGCTGCTGTCTGGCCTGTGTGGGAGCGCACGTGGGGAACCGTCGATGAATCTGTGGCCTTGAATGTTCTGGGAAGGAGGTTTCGTGCGGCTCTCCTCTCGTTGTAGATTGCTCTGAACACCACTGCACAATTACTCGCTCAGGTCTCAGAGGGCACACGTGCGGAGATGGTGGCCTCTCACGGAGATGGTGACCCCTCTCACGGAGACGGTGGCCTCTCACGAAGACGGTAATCGCCACCCCCTTAGAGACCTCGCCAATGTGTAATTTATTGACATTTCCCAGTTTCTAGATCTGCCTCTGGCCTGTCGTCCGTTAAAAGCACTCCAACGTAAAAAGGCGACCGCATCCGGACATCCTGTCCAGCACGAAGCGGAGCCTCGTCACTCGCCGTACAAATGGGACGACGAGTCGGGCAGGTCAGACCCCTCTCACCCGGGACGTCACCGGGCACCGAGATAATTCTGATCAGCTGCGGCCGCTTCTGTTGCATTCCCACGCAAAGACTCGCGGCCGCAGAGATTACATGTCAACGGTGCGACAAGAACGCCGCACTCCGAGCACACTTGGTCTCAGATTGGAAGCGAACTGTGCCGCAATGAGCCTTACGACAGCCGCGCTAAGCCCTGCTCGGGAACAGAGAGGATTACCGTGGCTAATAAAAACAAATCGCTGCACAAATTGCGCTTTTGCGGTGCAGAACGACGCTTCTGGCACGCGCGCGCCCAGTCCCCCCCACCGCCCCAACGTCAGCTGGGTAGAGGCCGCCGCTAACGTCACGTCAAGGGATCAGCTGCTACAGGTAAGCCTGAGCCAGCTGCCAGCCCGGCCCTTACCTGTGCTAGGGTTGCCCCCTATCCTGGTTTTCCCAGTGTTCGTCTGTTGCGTAATGCTATACCACCCAAAACAAAGCGTATCAATAGAGTTTTCCCCTCTTCCGGTATTGTGAAATATTCTTCTTCCCATTCGTGTGTCCTGAATTTTTGTAGCTCAGGCGGTGGCAACCCTGACTGCACAGGTGCATTGCGCCCATCGACGTTTTTTTTCCGACAAAGTAAAAGTAGATTAAAAATAATAAAACGAGTATCGCGACATGCACTGTGGAAACGCAAGCCTTGGCTCAATAGGCAGACAGACAGCAGAAATTAAAATGTTATGCGAAGCAGCAAATCAAAACAGGGAACATAAAA